CTAAATCTAGTAAATCGTTTTGGAAAACTGATTTTAATCAAGAAGTGCCAAACATGGACTGCTTTGCCAGATTTCAGAGTAGCCACCTAAATATTTTGTTTTGAAAAATTTAAGAAACCCTGACTTGTGACTAAGGCCATGTGTTCGTCATCACCAAAGTTGCCTCGGCTCGGGAACTTGGGTACGAGAGGGGAAGGTCCTGAAATAAGCACCCCCGCTCACCCGATCAAAGATCAGCCTCTACTAACATGATATGTTGTTTTTGAAAACACATGTGTTCTTATTCCGGTTTATTAGCTAGTTTACTATGTGATGCGCACAGCATACATGTATAGACTAGATCGCCTGATTTGGAACAAAGCATCTCATGTTTGTTTGTAAAAATGGTTTGAAAGTGCTACTCGCAAGTAGGCTAAAACGCGGATTTGCCACCCTCAAGTGGGCTTAGAAAACATGGTGATTTGCCACTTCAAGTGGGCTTAAAACGCACATTTTGATGAATTGTTCCAATTCAAGTAATGAAGCCTTCATCCACAGGCATTCATGCAGTTAAACACATAAGCACATAGCCTCATGGCAAGCATGCTATCATGCCAGTCACTTACACACATGCAAGGATGCTAAAGCGTAAACACTTACAGTGTACTCCGAGCCAAAACAGAAGCTAGTTAGTAATCATGCATGATCCTAGCTATGTCAACAATGCCTAATGCAACACATGCAAAATGCAACTAAGTAGGCTCGGCTAGCTAGAATGACATATGAATGCAACACTCGATAACATGCTTTGAAACATGTATTCAAGTAAGTATTGAAATACAATGCAGTTTGAATGATGCGCCGAGCCCGGTGCATGCAATATGAATGGATGATGCACGCATGCAAAGCATAAGTATGCTAATTGAAATATGCCCTAATCTAACCACTGAAAACGGATAAGTAAAAGGGAAAAAGATGTGGGGGTGGAAAACATTCACACACACGCACACTTACACTTATTACAACAATGTGCCCTCTCGACGGAGGGTCCGAATAAATCAACTAACTAGCTACGCTACGCTAAGCTAATTAATTACAAACTGAATTGAAACTAGCTATACTAAGCTAATTAGAATATTACAACGATGAAATAAATTAGCTAAATACATTAACTAATTAATTGCAGAATCAGCAAATTAACTATCTAAACAAAGCAGTTAAAATGGCCTCGAGGGGAGGGAGATATGCATGCTCGATTGCCTCGCCCGGAAATCCACTACCGTGCCTCAAAATGCCCCCGTTTGCACTCTTTTGGACTTTTGAAAATTGTGCCAACTTCCAAGATGCTTGTGACCACCCTAGGAACATACTGAAGGATGGTCGGCCGAGAGGGATGGCCATCGGCCAGAGTTGATGGCCATCGACCACTTCTGATAGCCGATCGGCAGCCTTGGTGGTCGATCGGCAGCTTTGCTGGCCGGTCGGCCACTACTTCCTGTAATTTCTCCTTTTGTTGCAACAGAGCACAAACAGAGGCATGGCAGTGTATTTGCAAGGAAATGTGTGTGCAACCACACTCCTTATCATATCTCAAGCACAAAGGAGTGTAGTGCTCGGCTCTCGAGCCACTAATCACGCATCTCAATGCATGATGGCCAAAGAGTCAAGTTTGCACAATGTTGATGAATGCACAAATAACACATAAGAGCCTCCACCTCTATCATGCTTGATCAAGAGGGTCGACGACCAAGAAATGAGGCGCGTTTAATCACTTCAAGTATGAAACACCCCTCGTTTCTCGTGTTTGGATTAACATCCAATCCAAACACAATGCAATGCAACAACATTCCAACAACAATGCAATGTAACATGTGTATCTACCAATGCTAATGTGGCATGTACAAGGTTTCTACCATGTGAACAAAGCATGCAAGACATGTTCGGAGGCCAAGAACATCAAAGCTAGTAAGGAGCATCTCACAAGAGCCATGCAATACCAAGTTTAAATGGCTAGACCAACTACAAACAGACCTCATGCATGCCAAAACAGTGGCCAAAATGCTCCAAAATGCTAGCATTAAAAGCAAGAAAATGCATGCTCATGCATTGGCCTATGAATAGGGTATAAAGGTGCAACTCTTAAGAGCACTTAAAGAGTGAAAAACATGAAAGTGTGACAACACTACATGCTCTGAAATATCATTCCAAATGATGCTAAAACATGCACATATGATAAATGAGGCATGCTAGGAGGCTTAGAGCTTAAGGCTAGCAAAGGTACTTGCACCAAAGCCATATCAAGCCAGCCCCAAAGGGCTAAGGTGACTCAAAACAGTCCCAAGGCAGGTCAAAACAAGGTCAAAAACATGCTTGAATATAGCCAACACATGCTAGAATTAGAGGCGTGAAGCAAGGAGCATGCAAGGCCAATGAGGAGGATTACACTACACATGTCAGAAGTAAATGAGTGATGCTCTAATCAACCAAAAACAAAGTTGTATCATGGCAAAATAAGACCCAAAACACATTGAAATGGAAGCCCAAAAGCTTACGCAAGATGGCATACATATTGGCTCATGTTTAAGTCATAAATCATAACTCTCCAAAAGCATTGAAAGAGTAAAGCATGAGAGAGTATGACCACACTACACACACTGAAATCATGGTAGAAATGAGGCCAAAGTATGCAAGCAACTCAAGTAAGCCATGCTAGAGACTATGAAACTCAAAGCTAGTGAGCAAGATTGCACTATGGCTATACAAAGTAAGGCATGCATGATCTAAAACACTTAAAACATAGCTTAAGCGTGGCAAAACATGAGTGAAAGCTTGCTGGAGTACAGCCAAAAACATGCTAAAATGATGGTCCAAAGCATGATGCATGTTAACGCTATAGGGAGGATTGCACTACAAGGGTATGAAGCATGCAAGAGGCAATCAAACTGACCCAAAACAGAGCTATATCATGTTAAAATAAGGCCTAAGGTATGCTAAGATGGAGCCAAAACATGCTAGAAAGACATGCTACTTTGATGAGCCATCAACACAAGCAAACAAGAGAAGAGGAGGGGGGACAACCCCCTCCTATTTGGGGCCTCAAAACACAATTTCTATCACTGAAAATCCACTAGATTTCAGTGGCTAAAAGGCCAAGAGAAGATGATCTCAAAGGCCTAAAGAGATGGCACCAGAAAAGGGAGGGTAGACCACCCCCAACACCAAAGAGGCCTTAAACAAACACTTTAAGGACTTAAAAATAAGAGTTTTTTTAGTTTAAAGTTAGGCTAAAACATCATGCAAATGGGGCCAAATAAGCAATATAATCAAAGCTTTAAAGAGGATAAAAACTCACCCTTGAAGAACAACTTTAGAATAGCAACTTCGGAGGCAAAAACCAAGCTAAAACCACTCAAATGCAACCTTCAAGAACCTCAGCTCAATAGTGAAGGTGTTTTACTAGGTGTTTGTGTGCAAAAGTGTGAAGAAATGACACTTTTGAGCACAAACAAGTGCAAATATAGAGAGAGATGGAGCAATATAGAGATAGATATATGTATAACCCTCAGCCAATTTTTCTGAACCTCTGGAAAGGGAGAGGGACCTCCCTTCTTGTAGAAATCCAACTCTCAAGCTTGTTGAACAAGCTAGAGGCTTGGTGCAATCCCTCCATACATGTATGGAGGATAAGTTCTATGCTCACCAGCAGGCACAACTGGCAATAAAAATATCCGCAAAAGCAAGAAAAAGGGCCTCGGCCAAAAAGTACGGCCGACTGGCCATTAAAGATGCCGACCGGCCATCAATGAAGCTGACCGGCCACCACTGATGGCCGATGGAAAGAGGGCATGGCCGATGGGCAAGGGACCTGGCCAATGGGTTGTAGGGCTAGCCAACGGGCCACCCCCTTCCCTCAGAAACAAAGCCACAAGCTCTTGGTCCACAACCAAGCACAAAACAGACAAGTTGAGAGGCTCCAAGGCAAGGCGCACAGCCGAGACTTTCAGAAACTCAAAACGAACACGAGCATGGATGATCATTGAGTGTTCAAATGATGACGTCATTTAGGATCAATTTTGTAGATGTTGTAATTTTCATTGAAAGCTTTTCCCTAATTTTAGATCTTATTTACTAATTGTTAGGATGGAGGAAGGCGTCTCTACGCCTCTTCGAAATTAACTCGTAGGGTTTCAAATCTATACTTTTGCTATTTTAGAGGTGAGTATACTTACCATGAAAATTTACCTTATCTCTATCTTTAATAAAAAGTTTGAAATATTTTTGAATTAAAGGAAGTAACTCATTTCATCATGATATATGTATAAAAAGAAAATCTATAAATTTATTGAGGTCAAAGGTTAAGTTTTAAATAAATATATGATTTCATTTCTATAATGAAGCATTAATTTTTATGAGAATTTATTTAAGTTGAGTCCTTCAAATTTTATGATGATGATGATTAAATGACAATTAAACGTCATGCGAGAGTATTTATTTTTATTGGTCTCATAACCAAATATAACCTTTGGGGCCACAAGGGCCGAAATGCATAAGGGGTCCTCGGGACTGAAATGTTTTAAGGACCATAAGGATCATTGTACATAAGGGGTCCTGGGGACCGAAACATTGAAATGAGAATTGAAGTGTTATGATGACATGAGTTATGTTCCTATGGTTATGTTTTGGGTAACGGTACCGTCACCACCTAAGTCGCAAGGTAACGCGACCCTAAGACCATGTAGTGGTTTGTATGATGGACATGAAATCTTAATGTATTGAAAAGTTGTATTTTTGTTTACTTTCCTTATTCAAATGTATTTTTCCTGCATTATGAGATTCTTTGGAAAAATCTTGATAACGGTTTATGCAAAATTTTCTCAATTTATATAAATTTCAGTCCAATTAAGCTCTTGTGTTTATTATCTTATTTTGAACCCAATTAGAAGGAGAAAGCTTTATAACTCCATGGGATTGGTATACTCATTGGGCTCTAGCTCATTCTTTTTTAATTAATTTTTTTTCAGATTCCTAGACTTTTGTGTGGCTCGCCTCAACTTGGAAGATTAGAGTTTCTAGAGGATCAAATGTGAGCATCTGGTAGTTGAGGTTTTGCCTAGGGTCACTCTAGGATGTAGTTTTATAAGGGAGGGTAGACCACCCCCAACACCAAAGAGGCCTTAAACAAACACTTTAAGGACTTAAAAATAAGAGTTTTTTTAGTTTAAAGTTAGGCTAAAACATCATGCAAATGGGGCCAAATAAGCAATATAATCAAAGCTTTAAAGAGGATAAAAACTCACCCTTGAAGAACAACTTTAGAATAGCAACTTCGGAGGCAAAAACCAAGCTAAAACCACTCAAATGCAACCTTCAAGAACCTCAGCTCAATAGTGAAGGTGTTTTACTAGGTGTTTGTGTGCAAAAGTGTGAAGAAATGACACTTTTGAGCACAAACAAGTGCAAATATAGAGAGAGATGGAGCAATATAGAGATAGATATATGTATAACCCTCAGCCAATTTTTCTGAACCTCTGGAAAGGGAGAGGGACCTCCCTTCTTGTAGAAATCCAACTCTCAAGCTTGTTGAACAAGCTAGAGGCTTGGTGCAATCCCTCCATACATGTATGGAGGATAAGTTCTATGCTCACCAGCAGGCACAACTGGCAATAAAAATATCCGCAAAAGCAAGAAAAAGGGCCTCGGCCAAAAAGTACGGCCGACTGGCCATTAAAGATGCCGACCGGCCATCAATGAAGCTGACCGGCCACCACTGATGGCCGATGGAAAGAGGGCATGGCCGATGGGCAAGGGACCTGGCCGATGGGTTGTAAGGCTAGCCAACGGGCCACCCCCTTCCCACAGAAACAAAGCCACAAGCTCTTGGTCCACAACCAAGCACAAAACAGACAAGTTGAGAGGCTCCAAGGTAAGGCGCACAGCCGAGACTTTCAGAAACTCAAAACGAACACGAGCATGGATGATCATCGAGTGTTCAAACGATGACGTCATTTAGGATCAAATTTGTAGATGTTGTAATTTTCATTGAAAGCTTTTCCCTAATTTTAGATCTTATTTACTAATTGTTAGGATGGAGGAAGGCGTCTCTACGCCTCTGGGGAATTAACTCGTAGGGTTTCAAATCTATACTTTTGCTATTTTAGAGGTGAGTATACTTACCATGAAAATTTACCTTATCTCTATCTTTAATAAAAAGTTTGAAATATTTTTGAATTAAAGGAAGTAACTCATTTCATCATGATATATGTATAAAAAGAAAATCTATAAATTTATTGAGGTCAAAGGTTAAGTTTTAAATAAATATATTATTTCATTTGTATAATGAAGCATTAATTTTTATGAGAATTTATTTAAGTTGAGTCCTTCAAATTTTATGATGATGATGATTAAATGACAATGAAACGTTATGGGAGAGTGTTTTTTTTATTAATCATATAACCGAATATAGCCTTTGGGGCCACAAAGGCCGAAATGCTTTGGGGTCCTGAGGACCGAAATGTTTTAAGGACCATAAGGGTCGTTGTACGTAAGGTGTCCTGGGAACCGAAACATTGAAATGAGAATTGAAGTGCTATGATGACATGAGTTATGTTCCTATGGTTATGTTTTGGGTAACGGTACCGTCGCCACCTACATCGTGAGGTAACGCGACCCTAAGGCTATGTAGTGGTTCGTATGATGGACATGAAATATTAATGTATTGAAAAGTTGTATTTTTATTTACTTTCCTTATTCAAATGTATTTTTCCTGCATTATGAGATTCTTTGAAAAAATCTTGATAACGGTTTATGCAAATTTTTCTCAATTTGTATAAATTTCAGTCCAATTAAGCTCTTGTGTTTATTATCTTATTTTGAACCCAATTAGAAGGAGAAAGCTTTATAACTCCATGGGATTGGTATACTCATTGGGCTCTAGCTCATTCTTTTTTAATTAATTTTTTTTCAGATTCCTAGACTTTTGTGTGGCTCGCCTCAACTTGGAAGATTAGAGTTTCTAGAGGATCAAATGTGAGCATCTGGTAGTTGAGGTTTTGCCTAGGGTCACTCTAGGATGTAGTTTTATCCTTTGTTTTATGAAGGAGGTTGATTGTAAATATTTGCTTTGTGAAGTTGGATGTATTAATGGATTCATGAATAGTATGTTTTATTTTTGGGGTAGTGGTGCATGGGAACTATCTTAGTAGCATGATGATATTTTTGTCTTTGAATGGATCATCTCCTATATGTTGGCCAATTGAAAGGTCTTATGCACTATTGGTGATGTGATATAAGAATTTTACAGGTGATTATTGTGTACAGGTGTTATAGCGTTTGAAGTGCACCAGATTAGGTCGTGACAAAAAAATTGTGTTAAGGTTTTGATTTGTAGAGAAACAATCCATGTGAAACAATATGTATAATCGTCTCTTTTTTTCAAAAATGATGAAATGGGTTTTTTTTAAAACAATTTAAAGGTAAAATGATCATAAAATGGACCTGAAGTATGTGAGAAACACTTGAACTCATATCAAGCGCAAGTTTAAACATCTTATGTGCTCAACCGAGGTTAAACACCTGTCGAGCACTAGCCTCAACATTTCAGGCACTTGACATATCAAGAGCATTTCAAGTAGTACTTCTAGGATCTCAAGCCCTTGGGCCTGTTTTTTTATCGGATATAAAGGCCAGATATGGGTGTGGAACCAAATATAATGAGTTGTGTCCCACATTTTTTTTGTCTCCCTATATCCCGTATTTAGCTGCTCTGGGTATAGGGAGTCCATATAGTATATAATGCAAAAGGGAAGGATATGCAATACCACCCCTAGGCCCTTTGTTTCACTGGATATAAAATGAAGGATATAATATGATGTGGAATTTAATCAAGATATATAATGAATAGGATTAGATAATATATCCTCCAATTCATGTTTGTTGACTTGATATATAACACTAGATATATCTTATCCATGTTTGTTTTACAAAATATATTGTGGGATATAAACAAGTAATTTCCAAGATTGCCCTCATAATATATTTTAATACCCATATTGCCCTTATGCCCATCAAAAGGGACATTGTTCAGTTTAGGAAAATAATAACACCACCTGCAAAACTAATGCAAATAAACAAATTAAAAATTCATAATATTTTTTAGGGAGATTGACTAATAAGTCCCATATTTTAAACTTGTAATCCATATAATCTCATATTTTTTCTTGTGATCCATTTAGTCCTTTCTAATGTGTAATGACTTATTTACCCATCACATTAGAGTGTCACATGTGAAAAAAATATACTAAAAAGTTTTTTAGTGTCACATCATACCCACTATATTGGAATGTCACATTTGGAAAAAGTACACTAAAGAGTTTTTAATTTTTTGCAGTGTCATATCATACCCGTCACATTAGAGTGACACATGCCACGTTTGGGAACAGTACACTAATGGATTTTTAGTTTTTTTGAAGTGTCACATCATCCCCGCCATGTTGTCACATTTGGAAAAAGTACACTAATGAATTTTTAGTTTTTTTGGGGTAACACATCATATTCGTCACGTTGTCACATTTAAAAAAAGTACTCTAATCAGTTTTTAGTTTTTTTGGAATGTCACATCATATCCGTCACGTTGTCACATTTAGAAAAAGTACACTAATAAGTTTTTAATTTTTTTAGAGTGTCACATCAAACTTACCACGTTATCACATTTGCAAAAAATACACTAAGAGTTTTTAATTTTTTTGGAGTGTTACATTATACCTGTCACGTTGTCATATTTAAGAAAAGTATACTAACAAGTTTTTAGTTTTTTTTTTTTTTTTTGAGTAAAAGATTTAGAGTGTCACATCATACCTTCCACATTGTCACATTTGAGAAAAGTACATTAAGAAATTTTTAATTTTTTTTGGAGTGTCACATCATACCCGCCACATTGGAGTGTCACATCATACCTACCACATTAATAAAAGGGTATAGTCGTCCACCAAAATACTACCAAAATTAAAAATAGAACTATAAACTCTCCACTAATAGGACTTAACAGATCAATACAAAAGACTTAGGACTAATTAGAGTACTTATTTGTGAGATGAGATTTATTGATAAATATCCCTATTTTTTATTTGAACAAATTAAAGATTCACATTAAATCCAATAATTTTTCCAAACAAAAAAATATATTATATAATATTAATGTCAACCTATAAAAATAAATAAATACCACAAAATCCTTTTAAACAAGTATTTTGATTTTTAAAATAACCATCACTCATTTATCACCCCACATCCATCATTCTTACAAAAAAAAACCCAAACAAATAAATTATTTGAAAAAAAAATTAATATTCATTCTAAAAAATTCTATCTTACAAAAATAATCATTATTGAATGAAAAAAATAACATCCTCATTCATTCATTCATCGCGCATCATCATTCTTACAAAATAATCCAAGCCATTATAATTTAAAATAACCATCATTCATTTTAAGCAAATTATAATATTTTTTTACAATAGACAAGTTAATATATTAAGCATCATGATTGTCATCATACATCATATTTTATATATCCATATCCACAAGCACACTTACAACCCCAACAATTACAACAAAATTAGGCACAAAAGCCGTTTGTGGAGGATTTACACCAATTAGTTTGTCAAAATATGTCTAATCCTCCTAATTACTATGCAAAATCGGCACTACACATGTGCCTTAAGAGGAATAGCTAAACTAAATATTATAATATATAAATAGATATCTTTCACTAACCAACTTCCCTCCTAAACATACCCACCCAACAACAAACATACCCATTCCATTTTGTCTTATTTAGGCAAGCTAAAGAACAAATCAACCCTTTCAGCATCCTTCATGACAAGGGTTGTGATATCCCTATTCCGTAATATGATAATTGGTCCTTAGTATGAGTATGATTATGAGTTTAATATGATTTTGTGGGCCATTATGTGAAAATATGTGGTTTTGAATTTCTATCTGTTCACCGCAGGAATATCTGTTTGACTATCTGCTTTGGAAATTAAATTGAAGGCCTTATTGGCCATAGAACCCGAAATTGATTGTGCCATTGTGATTGGCATAATTTTTAGAGCCTATAGTGAAGTTTAA